ATGGACCTCAGTGAGACAGATTCTGCATCTGAATCAGACACTGAAACAAACCTACCAGCTGTTTATGACAAACATTTGAGGGGCCTAAAGGATTTCTAAAGGAGAAGAGTCTTGAGATGTTTCAGAGACTTAAAAAGAAGCTTACTTCAGATCAGTATGAAGCTCTCGAGTTTACTACCAGGGAGCAATCAAAATGCAGGGCCTGGCACACACATAGAGAAGGCAGAACAACAAGCACAAACTTGCACCATTTGTGCACAGCTGGAGAGCCTACAGACAACGATATTAAAAACATCATGCATTACAAGACAGAGGATCTACAAGTACCGGCCGTACGCTGGGGGAGACATGGAGAACACGGATAGAAAATGCTACGTAGAAGAAATGAGTAAAGGTCATGCTAATTTCTTTGCTAGATTATCTGGTCTTGTTGTTCGCCCAGACCACTTACATCTTGGTGCATCACCTGATGGGATAGTAAGCTGTTCATGTTGTGGAAGGGGAACACTGGAGATCAAGTGCCCGTATAAATACATAGAGGGCCTGACCAGCTGCAATGAAGACCCCCAGTTCTGTCTTGACACAACTGGGCAGCTGAAGAGGAACCACCCATACTATTACCAGGTACAGCAGCAGATATTTGTGTGTGATGTCCACTACAGTGACTTTGTAGTTTGGACCGAACTGGTCATGATCATCAATCGTATTGTGAGACATGCAGACTTGCTGCTGAAAGCCATACCCAAGGCTGAACAACTCTTCTTCGACCATCTTCTACCAGAGCTGTTGACCCGGAACATGGATCCCAGGATCGAAGATGAACACACACATGGATATAATGTAAAACGTTAAAAGCAAATATCTGTACATTGTTCCTTTACAATCTGCAACTTTAGATTAGTGGCCATCTTATCTGTGTATATTTGCTCTACAGTGTGTGGTTTTACAATAAAGTGGGTGTTATTACATCTAGGGGTGGCAGTGGCTCAGTGGTTCATGTAGTTTGTCTGCAAACCGAAAGGTTGGTGGTTCAATCCCCGGTTCCACCTGATCAAGTGTCGAGGTGTCCATGAGCAAGACACCTAACCGCAGCTGCTCCCGACGAGCTGGATGGCGCCTTGTATGGCTGACACCGCCGTCTGTGTATGAATGAGTGTGTGAATGGGTGAATGTGAGGCAATATGTAAAGCGCTTTGGTGGCCATTAGGTCTATGAAAGCGCTATATAAATGCAGTCCATTTACCATTTATCTATAAATTTCAGGTGAGAGATTACATAAAAACAAAATATTTAATAGTAAGAGAATGTCCAATATACTTGTTTGTTTGGCAAAATGGTTGCTAAAAACTGAAACATTGATTTGTGTATAATTTAAATATTTTAATTAAATGAATTGTTAAAGAACAAAAAAAGTTCAATACTCGAAATACAGTCTTGTGAATTTTTATTTTTAATGCTACAGTCAAGGTTCATTTGTCACATCATTACATACACAGCCAACTTGTATTGACTATAGTAAAACAATATTCAGAGACTGACTATGGGTTCAACTACAGCAATGTGATCATGAGAACAGAAACAAGTATGAGTAAAACATTTTTTTTTTTGTATATTCATGTAACATGAAATAGACAAATGTTAGAAATTAAAATTGCCAGTAAAATGTCAATGCAGGACTAATTTCATTTAAATATTCAAAGGAAAACAATCCCACAGAACCCTGGAAATGTACTTCTTTTTCACATTACGAATGATTGGCTTGCTTGTTATTGTGTCTATCTTTTAGGCACTAAACTTTTCCAAAGATTTGTTAATGCTCCGCACATTATTACCATATCATCCAGAATGTCTACCTGAGTAAGTGGAATTACAGATGTTAAAATTTAGAATTTCTTCTATCGACCAATGACTCTTTCCACGTGTATTCTCACATTTGACAGTCTTATTGACGTGTCAACTTCATGGGCAGAGAGCTGTTTCTTGCCTTTTGTGAAGTGTGGGATATGAAGGGTTGCACCGTATGCTGCAAGGTCCTCCCTAATCAAAAACCCTCGATCAGCCAGAATTTTATCCTTTTGCTCCAGCTGTTTAAAGAATCCTGATTTTGATGTTATTTCTTTGTCAGAAACACGACCACCCCAACCTGGTGACAAAAATGAAATTGCTCCTGCTGGTGTTACCCCAATTAAGTATTTAACTGTATTGTGATGCTTATAATTCGACCATGTCTGTGCTTGAGCAGTAAGATTATTAGGTCTATCAATAAAAATCTCAGTGCAGTCAATAATACACTGACATTGGCTATACCTTTTAAAACATTTAGGCATTTTCCTGAGAATAGTCTTCCTGGTTGGCCATATAATGATTGGTTTTAATGTCTGTGCCATAATAGTGCCAATCTTTACAAGTTAATCCAAAATTTATACATTTTGAAGCCTATATAAAGATTTAAAAAAAACACAATCAGACTCGATATAGTTTAAAAAACCACAAGCAGGATATAACGGTGTGTTCTATGTCATAGATCAAAACGTGAAAATATTTAGAGGCTTTGTTCACCACAGACTTTATTTCAGGCGATTTAGCAAAAACCTATTCAAAAATCCCATAGGCTTTAGAGCGAGGGAACCATCCCAGACAGCAAACTGACATTGAATCAACGTGGAAACGACGTCTCTCATGACATCGAAACAACGTTGATTTTGCTCATCGAATTAACGTTGAACCAACGTCAGACGCGGCATTCTTCAAAGCTAAATGAAAATCGAAAATTGGTTTGCTTTCATAACGTTGAAACAATGTTGATTTCAAGTTGATTTTCCACTAGTTTTGAAAGAATGACGCGTCTGACGTTGGTTCAACGTTAATTCGATGAGCAAAACAATGTCAGATCAACGTTGTTTCGATGTCATGTTTCCACGTTGATTCAATGTCAGTTTGCTATCTGGGATAGTGCTAAAATGCTAACTCACTCCCGTGTTTTGGGCTACAGAGTGACGTCGTAACTTCGGCACTCTATAGGGAGCCAGTTTCTTAAAATTCTCAGCCAGAGAGGACTTGATAGATTCAGCCCTCTTTCTATTCCTGTTTGAACCTATAACACCAGCAAATAATGATCAAGAAAAAATACTTAAGATATACTACCATTATTTGGTAAGGTAAAATGATAGCAAATCAGGGAGAAGGTTACCTGTCCATTTTTGTTGGAGCTACCATACATTGACTCTGTCTTGAATAATTGAACAATGATGGAACAAATTCTGGACTTTCTGGATCCATGGATGCCTCCCCTGAAAGACAACCTCAGTCATTAAGTTGCAACGCCACTGACATTATTGTATATGGCCTTAAGATTTATCTAAGTTTGTGCTCAGTCATAATGTACAGTAAATGTCATATCACACATATATTACTGTAAATTAAATGATTGAATAAATACTGAATGATGTTACAGCCAAACTGTCTATGAGCAATTTGTTTTTTTACAAGCTACTTGTTAACTTGTAAGTTAGCTTACGTTGGACAATGGTGTTTACCATAAAGAAATAGCCTACTGAGAATATCAGCTTTGTTCTCTGCTTACTAATTTATCTTTCTTAACTAATACATCATGGATTTTGCGTGTGATACATAGACTGTAAAAAATATGGACAAAGCATCTGTGACGTCATCCATAGACTTTCTGAAGAACAGTTTTGAGGCTGTTTATGGGGGGTATGGGCGGCGCCATCTTGGGAAATCTTGGGAAATAGAAAATACAAATGTTCAGAAAGGATCCAGAGGTGGTATGATGTGTTGTGTCAGATCATGGCTGAGACGTCAACTCCACTCGGCGCAGCCCGTTATCAGCTGTCAATCAAAGTTAACCGCCCTTATTTGTCATACATTTTAGATCTAAATATGATCTAAACTAACGAGTTTCACAAAAATTCACCCCCCCTCACAGTTGTCAGGCACTCGGAACCTATCAAAAAATACAATAAAAGTCCATGGGACCAACCTGAAAACATATGAATTTATGCTGTGAAAACGGACATTTTAACATGAGGTCCATGGATATTTGCTCCCTTTTGGGACCGGCCCCTATCGGAGTTTAGATGTATTGCAGTTTTTCGCACTTCCGGGTAGGCTTCATTTTTCAGATTAGAATGTTGCCGCTTGGTGTGATATAGTTGAGAAAACTAGCCTGGATGCCAGCCCGAACTCCGCCCACAACATTTTTTTGGTCCGGAAGTTCGGTCTGGACTCAATCCATAGAGGAGTAATTATGATCAGTCAAAAAATGTTCAGGCCAATCAAATTGCCAGGGCGGGCTTTATACGATGATGGACAGATGATCTTCAGGGACGTAATCATCATCTTATCACAGAGCGCTTAACTAGTTTTCCTCAGAGATGACTGTAGCTGGAGAATTGAGATGTATAGATTCCGCTGTCGCGTCTTTTGTAACATAAATCGACGGTGCATTAATTTTAATAGACAAACAGAAAACTGCAATCAAGGCATTTGTCGATCGGAAAGGTATTTTGCCGTCCTTCCTACTTGATTCAGCAAAAGTGTAACTGACGGTCGCTAAGAAGATGGGACGTAATGAAAAGCCTGTGGTCGTTGTGGTTTGTCCTTTGGTCGCACTCATGGAGGACCAAGTAAAAGAAGCAACACTCTTGATTTACTTCTAAAATAAGTAAGTTGTTGACAACTGCGCTATGCAAAGTAGTTGACTTAATGCGTTGCTCTGATTGGTTGTAGGTCTACCGACTATCCAATTGAGTGCAGAGTTTTTTTCCCCTGGTTCGGTTAACACACGCCTCATAATCAAAGCCCAATGGAGGAGTTTTAGACTCACATTCTGACTAGAATATGAGTATGACGAAGTCAGGCTAGGAGAAAACCTTACCCGATATGATTGATGGGTTTGATGCTTTAAATGTCTAAATGTTTTGATTTCTGTTTGTGCCATTAAACTGGGGTTAACATGTAGTTGTTCTTTTTTGCCTTAGATCTGATGATGCTAAAGGAGGACATTCGAGATCCGAAAGAAACAGAAGAGAAAGATCAGTTTGAGAAACGTGATATCACAACTGGAGAAAAATCATTAAGTTGCTCACAGACTGAAAAGACTTCACCAAAAACAGGTAAAAAGACAGCAAATAGAAGTTGTTTCACCTGCCAACAGTGTGGAAGGAGTTTCACTCAAAAAGGAAATCTTAAATGTCACATGCGAATTCACACTGGAGAGAAGCCTTTCACATGTCCACAGTGTGGAAAGAGTTTCGCACAAAAAGGATCCTTTTATACCCACATGAAGGTTCACTCAGGAGAGAGCCCGTACATCTGCAAACAGTGTGGAAAAACCTTTAATCGAAAAGACCATCTTCAAATTCACATGAGAGTTCACACTGGAGAAAAACCTTTCACATGTGATAAGTGTGGACAATGTTTCACACGTAAAGAGAGCCTTAATAAACATGTGAGGGTTCACATTAAAGAGAGCTTTTGTAAATGTCATCATTGTGGAAGAAGTTTCAAAGACAAGAAACGGCTTAAGAGGCATTTAAGAACTCACTCCGGAGAGAAGTCTTACATGTGCCATCACTGTGGAAAGAGTTGCTCAAACAACACAAACCTTGAAGTCCACATGAAAATTCACACTGGAGAAAAGTTTTACAGCTGCCAACAGTGTAGAAAGAGTTTCACTGGGAAAAAAAGTCTTAAGATTCACATGAAAGTTCACACTGATGAGGGCCCTTACCCCTGCGAAGTGTGTGGAAAAACCTTGAGTCGAAAAGGAAATCTTAAGATTCATATGAGAGTTCACACTGGAGAGAAACCTTACTCCTGCAAACTGTGTGGAAAGAGATTTTCACAACATGGAACTTGTTATACCCACATGAAAACTCACACTGGAGGGATTCACACATCTTAAGTGTGAGAAGAGATTCACACATCAGATAGATCTGAAAAGTCATTTGCAAACTCATTCTGGCAAGAATTCGCAGTGTTCTTAATGTAGAGAAGAGGTTTAGGAAAAGGAGCAATTTCAAAAACCACCTGTGCATTCATTCATTTTCAAGAACCCTTGGGTTTCAAGGGCTAAATGCATTAAAGGGTTCAAGTCTTAATGCATACTTGATGCAAATTATAATGCATAAAATCCAAAAAAATTAACCTTTTATTAGTAGTAAGACGGTTAATTTTAGGAACATATTTTAGGTTTGTGTATGCCCTGAGGATGGTTGTATCACCGAAAGCTTGGCATTAAATTTTGCGTGAAGGACTCAAGTGTGCAGACAATTTATTCTTTGGGTTGTCAAGTGTTATCTGTCTGGCACCTTGTTTGCCGTGAGTGCGGTGAAACTCTTTCATAGGAACACATTTTAGGAACACAAACAAAGATTCTTTAAATGAAATCTGAGATCTTTCTGTCCCTCCATTGACAGCTGTTCATCAATTTATCAGATTTCATCAATTTGTGTTTTGAAGATTAACGAGGTTAGCAAAGTCTTAACTGTTTGCAAAGATTTTTTTTTAAATTGGAGCGTAAACAAAGAAGCTGGGAAAAGGCAAATGTGATTTTGATTGATCTGGAGAGTGAGACATTTACTGATTTGCATAACAGCTGCTTTAGTTATTTGGTTGTGATTAGTTGGACAAGAAGTAATAGGGGAAATGTAAATTTACCAGCAAGTGGCATAACCCAGCTCAAATCATAGGCTACGTTCACACTGCCGGGCTTAATGCTCAATTCCGATTTTTTAAAAAAAAATCGATTTTTTTGCAAGGCCGTTCACATTTCCAATTAAATGCGACCTTTTGTGATCTCCTGTGTGAACGTGAAATGACCCAGAAGTGACCCGCATGCGCAGAAGATTAATCAACGGTCAACGACGTCACTTGTTGTTTGCGGAATAGTCCTTTTTTTCCATATGTTGCGAGCTTTTGTTTTATTATTATTATTGCCACAGCCCATATACAAACACAGACAACAATTATTTTATCGACGGGAAAAGTTTGCACATAAATGTAAGATTTTTACGATCCTCACCGAGGCTCGTCATAAACCCCGTTTAATTGATAGTGCGCGTCCTCGGCGCTCCTTGCTTTGTCACCGGCGGCCGCGGTGCGACACTGGTGGCTGGTGTTGGCAGATTGGGTGTTTTTTCGCTACATTTTAAGGCATGTTTACATGTGTTTTAGCCAGGTTTTCACCTGGAAGGCTCTATAGAAATCAATCTGGCACCCTACTGTACAAAGTTATACTGACAGAGAGCGCACGTTCACAGACACCAGAATGAACGTGTGTTCACAGTAATGTTCATCAGGCAGTAATACAGTATATGAACGCGTTCAGGCACAACACTGGGGAAGAGACACGTCTGCAGCGGCCCATAACAGTGCAGAAACGCGTTGGAGTTAGCGTGTATTGGCTAGCAACAGGTGCGTGCAATGACGTGCGGGTCGGATATATGTGACCTGGCCGTTCAGATTGGAGTCGCATTTCAAAAGATCGGATACATATCGGATTTGGACCACATACCCAAGTGGCCTGGGTCGCATTTGAAAACATCGGATCTGTGTCGTTCAGACTGTCATGAAAAAATCAGATACAGGTCTCATAGGGGCAAAAAAAATCGGAATTAGGTCGTTTCAGCCTGCAAGTGAATGTAGCCATATTAACCAATGGTTTAAGACCCAAGAGGAGGCACTCATAGTGGAGTGAGCTCTCATGTCTTAAGAATAACCCCTAAAATCCACTGGATCCGTCTGCATTGCGGAACGTCAGTGGCGCGGATGCCAGAGCTAATCGCGGACATTATAGTCAAACGCTCTAAAGTCCAACAGCTGCGGACGCGGCGCGTCTCAGAAGCATACCAGTAGCATCTCTCCACGCCGCTCTGCAGAGAATAGGTAGCAGGTCTATTTTCGAGGCGTCAAGCAGCAGAGAGCACATCGTACCGGGCAAGAAGTCAGACACAGAACGGCATGAGGATCCGGTAGATTTTTTAAAATAAAACACCCTATGGAGACTAAAACAGTCACCAACGCGTTGCACCTGAGACGCTTCCAGTGGACTTTGACGCCGAGCTAGGGACGAATCAAAAATGTGGCACTGAGGTTCTGCGCCGCAGACGGATCCAGTGGATTTTCGGATTAGTGCGTCCTCGCTTCCTTTCCTCGTTCTCAGCTCAACCCCCTGTAGGTTACAAGGGAAGAATGCAAGGAAAGGAAATGAGGACGGAGGAATCGAATGAAAGCTTTTTTACACATTGGAGTACTTGATCACTTAAGCGTCACTTCAAAGCGTCATCAGCTACACTCAAAGGATCTGCCATTATGTTGTATTCGTTTGGTTAAGAAACTCATAATAAATAATAAAGCAAAATACCCTGTTGAAAAATGTGTGGTTTGTATAAATTACAAAGGTAAAAAATAAATTAAAATTATTGTGACTGATGTGAAGGGGAGGAGAATTTATGTGTGCATCACGATTAGTCAATCCAACTCTTCCGCAATGGATAGACCCGTGTATAGACCGGGAAGCCTTCTCACTCCTCGATCCTCGTGGTGCAATTAGAGAATCGAGAAGTCCATCAAGATGGCTGAGCTCGATCGGTTTCCGGGTCATAGGAGCGAGGAGAATAGGAGGGATAGGAGAATAGGAGGGAAGACTATAAGACTATGACATCCACAATCTAGTGAGCCAACCTCTGCTTGGAGACAGACTTTCCCTTCTGCTGGACTCCGTCAAGTCACCTTCATTTATATAGCACGTTTCAAAGCAGCTTTACATTGGCAGAATAATGCACTGGCCTGTAAAATTAGCCTGGTTAGTGCTGCGGAGGCTCCATATAAGGATTGAGGGGTGGAGCTTGTACCTAGAAATGATGAGCTGCTTCATAGGGTTGTGGAATAATACTCCTGAAACCCTCAAATATTTATCCTAACAGACGTTCAGTTGAGCGAGTGCTTTCTTCCAGAAACCTTGAGAGTAACATCTCATCACGTTGTTGATTTCTTTCTTGCTGTTGTTCAACTCTATCCAAGAAGCATCTTTGTTCAGCTGACCAAACTTGCATTAGTTTGGCATAGCCAGATGAGGTCTTTCATCCTAAATGAACAGAAAGAGATGCATTATTTACATTCAACCTAATGTGAAAGTAACATTACTTAAAAACCAAAGTTATCAGATAAAAAACAATTACAGAAAGCAGAGATAAACACACATTCAAATGTTTTTACTGTACAATCATAACAAAAATGTTCCACAAAGCCCAAATTAAAGACTGAGTTGTTGTGTTCTTTAAACAAAACATGTGTAAAAGTCTAGTTTACATGCAAGTTTAGTTGGGCATGCTATTATTAATAGTATTTTTTTGTTATTGTTGAGAAATTACTAACAAAATGTCTGCAAGTGTATTAAACACTTATAAAACAAAGCAAGGATGTTCCCATATTTCAAAATGTTACTAAAATGTTCCTGTTGTTCGGTTACTAAATGACATGGTTCTAGCAATGCAATGCAATGTAATAATAAAAGCATTAATCGAGGCATAAATTAAAATCCATTTAATTAAAGTAAGTTAAATGCACTGCAGTCAAGTTAATTTTTATCATAATGAATGATTTGGCATGAAACTTACTTTTTTTGCAGGGCTTGGTAGAACATGGGCATTGCCTTCAGCTGTCTCCTCTTCTCGGTGTACAGAGCTGCTCATTCCCACTTCCTCAAAGTTATCAATATCTACATATATAAAAAGCATTATGGGTAAAAGCTAACTCTATGACCAATTAGTGTACATGAACTGTTTGTGTACATCTCTGCATGTGTTACGCTGCGATGAAATCAAAACTTACCAGACTCGTCTTCTGGGACGGGAGAAGCACTCGCATCAAAGGAATTTTCTGGGAAGCAGACATCCACACCATGTGCTGTGACGTTCACCAGTGGTCTTTCTCCCATTAGTTCATCCATAACAGTGTGGAACGGGAAATTAGCCGGGGATTTGCCACTTTTGTTGTTTTTGGATTTCGCCTTATAGTACCCACTTTTAAACCCTTTTCAGCGGGTTTTTATTTGCTCTACTCACCTGTTAAATCCGGCTTCTTTCAATTTTTCAAAAACCTGCTTGAACAAGTCATTATTGCGTAACTTACGTCCGTCTAGTCGTTCAATTATTTTTTCTTCCTTTAAAATATTCAGCAACAACATGGTTTCTGCAACTGACCAATTCTGCTTACTGCACGCCATATTCCTGTCAAAAACAAACACGCGTCAGGCGTTATTACGTCATTTCTGCGTCATTGCACATGCCCATTCCTATCAGATTTGGTTTTCAGTCAGATTAAGTGTTTACAAGTTCTCTCGATCGGATCAGAAAAGGTTTCCTAACGAAACAAAAATATATTGAAGTATATTGGAATATACCACGTGATATATTAGGCAATATATTACCATATATAGAATTTAATATTTATATTGTCCAATATATTGCAATATATGCATAGTCCATATATATATATATATATATATATATATATATATATATATATATATTGATACATATATTGCAGTTAAGACCAAAATAGTCACTATACTTTTTACATAAAGTTTGTCTTTTTAAAGTTTGTCTTTATATGCTTTAATATACTGCAATATATGTGCTATATATGTTACATGTGTGTCCTGATTTTCCCCCGTCTCTGTGTATTTGGTTTAGTCCTGTGTCTCAGTTTCCCGCTCCTCGTTACTGTTTAGTTCCTTCACCTGTGTTAGGTTAATTTGCCCCAGCTGTGCCTTGTTTCCCTAGTCTCTTCTAGTGTATTTAAACCCTGTGTTCTCCTCACTTTTGGCCCGTTCTCATTGATGTATAGTGTGGTTACTGTTTCCCTGAGGTATTTGATTAAAGTCCTGTTGACCGGTTCTCCTTGTGCTTCCTGGGCACCACACTACCGTAACAGAAGAACGGGCCCTAATGCAGTATGGATCCTACAGACCTACTCCTCAACCTTACCCAGAATCACCGCTCTATTGAGACCTACGTCGAGGAATTCCTCCACCTTGCCCACCAGGTGTCCTAGAAGGAGAGAGCCCTCAAGCACTCCTTCTGGATAGGTCTGGACGATCCACTCTTTAGACAATTCCCAGCTATTGCCAACACGTGTTCCTTGAGGGAATATGTTGATAACATTCTGCGGGTGAGTGGATCGTCCTACACCATCGAGGAAGTTATCCCAGATCTCCCTTCTTTTCCTGTCTCCACTGTCTCCAGTGTCTCG